CCGTTACCACACTGCGGAGCCACGAATCCCGCTACCACACTACGGAGCCACGAATCCCGTTACCACACTGCGGAGCCACGAATCCCGCTACCACACTGCGGAGCCACGAATCCCGTTACCACACTGCGGAGCCACTAATCCCGCGGACCCCACTGCGGAGCCACGAATCCAGCGAACCCCACTGCTGAGTCCCGAATCCCGTTACCACACTGCGGAGCCCCGAATCCCGCGGACCCCACTGCGGAGCCACGAATCCCGCGGACCCCACTACAGGGTATAGAACAAAAATAATAATGTTGATGTAAGTGTTGTTTATGTTTGAAGCAGACACCATTCTGGCTTCTTAGACACTTTGAACAATTAAGAGCAATGCCATCTACACATTTCCCGTTATTATTCATTGTCTATCAAAGATTCGGATATCATCTAAATAGCGGTACCTGCTGCATGATACCGAGGGGTACAGGTGGCCCCGTCGTTTCAGTCACAGCAATTCGCTGTGCAGAGTTGCGTCCCATGGGCACGCCAGAAACCAATGATAATGTGTTCGAATCCCGGTTCATCCCGATTATGTTTTAGGTTTGTCAGCACCATACTGTGTACTTTGGATTCATCCAAGTGATAAACGTGTGAGACCTGCATCATTTCGGTCTTTCCTCCCACGTTACGCTGACGCGCCGTGATAGAACTGGGATACTGTTGAAGGCTGTGTTTAAATAAAACTTACTCGGTCTCATTACAACCTTTTGAAACATCCTACCCAATTTTTCTTCAATTAAAAGGAAAAGAAAAACTCTTCGAAATAGGTTAATGTGGGAAGAGATATCGTTTACATTGATATTGGATACAATTACTTTAAGGTTTTTCTTAATTAAAATTTCGCATCGCCTAACTTTCTATATTTGTATTCTTACTTTAATCACTGATCTTTCGGTTTGTAATCATTAAACCAAAGATTTTTATAATAATTGCTCTTGAACATACCGGCTGCATCTTATTTTAGATGTCAACGTATCCGGCTAGAACACGTGTTCTAGCTATAGAACTAAAGTACAGTCGGAAATGCTAGAAAAATCATTTTCTAGCTTTATATATTAAATACGAATCATAGGACTATGAAAGTGGCATTATCAAAAACTAACTTATCTAGCATATCGTAACGGATACTGTGATTAGCCTAAATAGGTACATTTTCAGGTGAAATGGTGATAAACTTTGAAAATATTCGTGTGTCGTCATGCGTGTAGGAGACGGCCAATAGCAGGAGGTAATTACCTGTCCCGAGGTGATGACCTCACACCGGCCCGTGCATTCGCACAGACCACATTATTATTATTATCATAACGGAGTCGCGTGCGCATATTTCTATAAACCGTTTCAGACTTCCCTCATTGGACTTAGTTAAAATGTGAACTCGCTGTTTGTGTTCGAATTTTGTTGATAGGATTCCTTGTGATACCTCAAAAAAAGATGGTTACTCGATATTTCAATAGCAACACTCTGTAAAACATTCTATTTTGTTTTAACGGGCAAAACGTATTTTTCTATCATTGCCGACAGTACTTAAGCACTTGTACCAGAACATAACATCTGCACCACAGCCCTTGTTAAGAAAGCATTGCGTCTCCCAGAGAAGGGAAGGTTCTTGGTTCGATAACAAAAAGGTCATACAAAAAGGAAGGTTCTTGTTGTTACCCTGCCTGGCACTCGACATTAGGGGAAAAACAAGTACTGGTCGGCTCGGAGTCAGAACACTGTGACTATGTGGGATATTCATGTTACACTGGCATAGTATATCAGTGGGCTACCACTATAAAACCGGCATTAGTCCGAACTATATGAAGCAATCGGTCATACGCTCGTACTCACTCACTCACTAACTCACCCACTCACACACGCACAGCGCTACACACGTGCCATATTCGACGTTAAGCCACATTCACCTCCCATCACAGCTTAATGACAATTAGAAGCTTCGGACTTTCTGGTATTGGAGTCGTATTACACTGGTCTCCCGGGGTTGCTGCAGCTAGGTCAGTGTGAGAGTAATCCTGAACTACATTAAAACAAAACGCTCTGAGTCGTAGCCTGTGGCATACACGTTTGTTATTATTACAATAGAGATTGTGTTTGTTTGTTGTTTAATACCGTCCTCATCAATAATCCATCTATATAACGACGGCCTGGAAATATGTGGGCAGTTACTTAAATGCTCGCACCGCCTGCACAGTTTGGCTGACGTAGCGGGTGGCCTTGGACGTCGTCGGACACGTCTCCCGATCATATCCCAGACGTGCTTTATTCATGTTATTGGGGGAAAGTCAGGGGTCATTGCATTCGGGGATGTTTTGCTCCTGGAGGTTGTCAGCTGCGTTACGTGGACGTTGGCGTTATCGCTTTGAAAAGAAAACGTTGTCTCGGTGGTGCCGTAACGTGATGCTACCATACAAGATGCAGTGGCGTTCTGGCAGTCATAGGGATCCCGCCCCGTATCATTACAGACCCACTCCCAAATCTGTCATGTTGCCTTACGTTGATGTTCGCATGACGTTCGCATAACGTTCGCATGACGTTCGCATGGCGTTCGCAAGACGTTCGCATGGCGTTCGCATGACGTTCTCATGACGTTCGCATGACGTTCGCATAACGTTCGCCTAACGTTCACATGACGTTCGTTAGGACGCTTCCAGTCCAGAGTGAAGCTGGACTCATCTGAAAATATTACACGAGGCCATCGGCGACTCACCCAGTTTCTACACTCTAAACACCATTGGGGTCTGTCTAGAATGTGTCGATATGGCACGATGATTCAACACGTCGTCGACGAGCATGCAGATTAGCTGCAACTGTGTAGTCGGTAATTTGAACTCCGGCAGCCTGGCGCAAGTGAACAGCTATGTGATTGGCTATTTCTTAAATATATAATGTCAATGCAGATTATCAGCCGAAACAGATTCCACTTTGGTAAAGGGCAAAACATCGCTGTGAAATGATATGAATGGATCATTTCCATTCAAGCCTGGTTTATGATTAATCGATGCTTGACTTGTGTTGTTGACGTAGGGCGCCCTGTGCGGGGCCGATCATTAACATTTTAAGTCAGCAGAAACCTGTTCCAGGGTCTGCAAATTACAGACTGAGACACAGTGGTAAACATATTGGCTGTCTCTTGCTTGGTTCTGCCTGTTTGAAGCATGCCAACAGCTTCATTGTTGCGACTACGCATTCCAAATCTGATCACAGATACTGCATTAAAACATACACCTAAATAACAGGTTTAGTCCTTGATTGAAGCAAGAGTAGAGAGCTTACACGTGACTGTGGATGATGACAAACACCCATGCTACCCACGTGTATAGAAGAACTGCATGGTCCGGGTGTATGTTTCGGGTGTGTAGCAGCGTTAGGTTTTGCTTCTGACCGTCTGGCTGTTAATTTTCAAAGCTGATCTAACGACCACTCGTAACATTTATATGTCACGATCCCCTAGTTTCTAAGGAGAGTATATAACACATTCAGTAGAAATCTGGATGTCAAGAGAGGCCTGAAAATGTGCGCACGAATTGTGAGGCAAAGCTTAAAATCTATTCCTTGATGTCAAAGTCCATGACATCCATGATGGTTGGCTGGTTGGTTTGTTGTTTAACGCCGCACTCAGCAATATTCCAGCTATATGATGACGGTCTGTTAATAATCGAGTCTGGACCAGACAATCCAGTGATTAATATCATGAGCATCGATACATGCAATTGGGATCGATGACATGCATCAACCAAGTCAGCGAGCCTGACCACCCGATCCCGTTAGTTGCCTTTTACGGCAAGCAAGAGGTTGCTGAAGACCTATTCTACCCCGGATCTTCACGGGTAGACATCATGTAGCTCCCATGTGACTGATGGAATGAGTCGAATAACAGTTTGTCCTTGCTTGTTCTGCCTTGTCCTGTCTTCTCCTGCCTTGGTCTGTCTTGTCTTGTCTTGTCATGTCTTGTCATGTCTTGTCCTGCCTTGTCCTGCCTTGTCCTGTCTTGTCCTGCCTTGTCCTGCCTTGGTCTGTCTTGTCCTGCCTTGTCCTGCCTTGTCATGTCTTGTCCTGCCTTGTCCTGTCTTGTCATGCCTTGTCCTGTCTTGTCATGCCTTGTCCTGTCTTGTCATGTCTTGTCCTGTCTTGTCCTGTCTTGTCCTGCCTTGTCCTGTCTTGTCATGCCTTGTCCTGTCTTGTCCTGTCTTGTCATGCCTTGTCATGCCTTGTCATGTCTTGTCCTGCCTTGTCATGCCTTGTCCTGCCTTGTCCTGTCTTGTCATGCCTTGTCCTGTCTTGTCATGTCTTGTCCTGTCTTGTCATGTCTTGTCCTGTCTTGTCCTGCCTTGTCCTGCCTTGTCCTGTCTTGTCCTGCCTTGTCCTGCCTTGTCATGCCTTGTCCTGCCTTGTCCTGCCTTGTCCTGTCTTGTCCTGTCTTGTCCTGTCTTGTCCTGTCTTGTCCTGCCTTTTCATGTCTTGTCATGCCTTGTCCTGCCTTGTCCTGTCTTGTCCTGCCTTGTCCTGCCTTGTCCTGCCTTGCCATGTCTTGTCCTCCCTTGTCATGTCTTGTCATGTCTTGTCCTGTCTTGTCCTGTCTTGTCATCCCTTGTCATGCCTTGCCCTGTCTTGTCCTGCCTTTTCCTGTCTTGTCCTGCCTTGTCCTGTCTTGTCATCCCTTGTCCTGCCTTGTCCTGTCTTGTCATGCCTTGTCCTGCCTTGTCCTGCCTTGTCATGTCTTGTCCTGTCTTGTCCTGTCTTGTCCTGTCTTGTCCTGCCTTGTCCTGTCTTGTCATGCCTTGTCCTGCCTTGTCCTGTCTTGTCCTGCCTTGTCCTGCATTGTCATCCCTTGTCATGCCTTGTCCTGCATTGTCATCCCTTGTCCTGCCTTGTCATGTCTTGTCATGTCTTGTCATGTCTTGACCTGGCTTGTCCTGCCTTGTCCTGTCTTGTCCTGCCTTGTCCTGTCTTGTCCTGCTTTGTCATGTCTTGTCCTGCCTTGTCCTGTCTTGTCCTGCTTTGTCATGTCTTGTCCTGCCTTGTCCTGTCTTGTCCTGCTTTGTCATGTCTTGACCTGCCTTGTCCTGCCTTGTCCTGTCTTGTCCTGCTTTGTCCTGTCTTGTCCTGCCTTGTCCTGTCTTGTCCTGCTTTGTCTTGTCTTGTCCTGCCTTGTCCTGTCTTGTCCTGCTTTGTCCTGTCTTGTCCTGTCTTGTCCTGTCTTGTCCTGTCTTGTCCTGCTTTGTCCTGTCTTGTCCCGCTTTGTCCTGTCTTGTCCTGCTTTGTCCTGTCTTGTCATGTCTCGGTCTGTCTTGTCCTGCCTTGTCCTGTCTTGTCCTGCTTTGTCCTGTCTTGTCCTGTCTTGTCCTGTCTTGTCCTGTCTTGCCCTGTCTTGTCCTGCTTTGTCCTGTCTTGTCCCGCTTTGTCCTGTCTTGTCCTGCTTTGTCCTGCCTTGTCCTGTCTTGTCCTGCTTTGTCATGTCTTGTCCTGTCTTGTCCTGCTTTGTCCTGTCTTGTCATGTCTCGGTCTGTCTTGTTTTGTTTTGTCCTGGCTTGTCCTGTCGACTCGGCTCTGTGACCACGGCACAGTAAAGGGTAATTTACTAAACACAGAGTAAATGTTTGAGATCAAACTACTTATAATAGACCCAAAACACATTCCTTAATTATGGAGCTGTATCGTATTTCTAAATTGGAAACGTTTTGCTTCTTATTGATTTGCCTCCTCCGACAATAAACAGATGTAACCAATTATGTCAAAAACATGATGTTGATTACACCAATCATAATCATGAATTGAGACGGTCTTTGTCTTTTAACATTTTGTGCAGTCACTTCGCATTGAAAATAATAATATTTTTCATGCTACAGGTGTTCAATCTGGAGTTAAAGTATACAGATGTTTCAGTTTTACACAAGGGTTTCTTCACAGAAAATATACGGGGGTGTTACGACGTAAATTGTAATAAAAAGGTAAATTGTAATACTTGCAGCAAATTGTAATAATTTTGACGTAAAATGTAACATGCAAATTGTAATAAAATTTGACGTAAATTGTAATAATCTCTACTTGCGGTAAAATGTAATAACTTTTTACGTAAATTGTAATAACCTTATAAGTTTAGTGTCAAAGGCGTTAAATGACTAGAACCTATCCTTGTCAGGGTTGGTACAGGGCTTATCGTAAATCGTCATTAAAGTATGGGTGTGGGGGAGGATTGAGGTCGTTATCGTACATTGTTGTATAACTATATGTATATATAAACGCATTGGAATTTCATTTCTATGGTTGTCCAGAAGAGGATTAATTACTAGAATGAACTTAGTTTTCTTATTTGTTTGAGAAATACTCTGTGTGTTTTGTATTATATTTTGACGAAGAATTAAAATACAACAAATGAGTGACAGATCTCCTGTGCAATGTCAAATGAAAAAAACAACAGTCGTCAGCAAATGCAGCATAGATTTTCCATGCATGGGAAAGGAGAATACTTAATACATAACATTATATACAATGTTTTTATTAATATCAAAAGAGGGACGTGGATATTCTTTACCTACATTGCATATACTATTAGATATTGTGTATTCTCGATCTCTGTGAACTTCTCACAGATAAAGAAATAATAATTAATAAATGCAAACCATGTTAACTTATGCAATATTTGTAGCAATGTATGATTAACATATGGATCATTAATATAACATAACATGTTTCCTTTCATGGGAAGAAGTATATTTAATGAAATAAATGAACAAATGTAACTCTCTGGATTCCTTTCATATGTCATGAAGAACTAACAACAACTTACTGACAACTTTTGCTGGGATAATAACTCCTTGCCCCAACAACAAAAACAGAATCCATCATGATAACGGCACGAAATCATAATTCATAGCATACACAAATAATATCCGGTATCTTCGGGCATGTCTTGTTAAGTTTCAAAGAGCATCAGAATGTATATAATAATATAATTTGTTGCAATCAATTATTGCTGAAATAAATCTGTTTTGATCAAAATTCAAAGGATGGAAAATCTATAATGAAAAGGGTTTTGTCACTAACGTAAATATTCTCTTTGACCTTATACGAAGAGTATTCTAAGATCATTAAACTCGGCAATCGTTGGTGGATTGAGCCAAGCAACCTTGATACCAAATTTGGTACCTCACGTATAATGCGGTACATAATTTTCGAAACAGATAATTACGTTTTTCATTAGTTATCACTAATTTGTGACATATATACGGACAAAAATTACCTCACGTGCGTGCGTGCGTGCGTGCGTGCGTGCGTGCGTGCGTGTGTGTGTGTGTGTGTGTGTGTGTGTGTGTGTGTGTGTGTGCGCGCGCACGTAGGTGTGTATGTAATGACAGTATATGTGAGCTCTATGTCATTGGTATCACATATATGACTGCACTTCTACATACTCTAGATGACAGTATCATGTACGTAGATGAAAGTATGTAAGTGGACGATAGTAATACTATCTAGATGGCATACTATCATCTACGTAGAAGATTCTATCATATACGTAGATGAAAGTATTTTCTACGCAGATGGTAGTATCTTCTACGTAGATGATAGCATGCCACAAACATCACATCACTTCCAATAAATGTCTTTCACTATGTTGACACCACCCTTTAATGACGATTACCTACCATCCCTAACTTAACAGTTTTGTACGTTTGTCATCATACACAGTATTTCTCGAATTGTACATGTGAAACGCAAGCTCATTTCTAGTCAATTGGCGTCTTGGACACTACGGTAGTAAGGTTATTACAATTTACGTAAGGATTTATTTCATTTTACCGCAAGTAGAGATTATTACAATTTACGTCAAATATTATTACAATTTGCGTATTACAATTTACGTCAAATATTATTACAATTTACGTTGTTATTACATTTTGCGTCAAAATTATTACAATTTGCTGCAAGTATCACAATTTACCTTTTTATTACAATTTACGTCGTAACAGGGGGTCATCCTCGATTATGCAGGGTGTTATGTTTCCATTCTATTGTAATACATACCCTGGAACGACGTTAAAAATAGCCGCCCAATCAAATTATAACCAAGAGCGAAAGAGTGTGACATGGGAAAGATGGGAATGGTGACGTCACTTTGGAAACAATCATACGATTGAGAATTTGTCCATGCCTATGCAGAAACGTATCATACATTTATTAAGGGCAAATGTTTAAAAACAACCTGAGCTCGCATATCACGAAACGTCGAATTCAATAATCAATTACAGAATTTGTAACTGAGATCATGGCATACTATGATGTGCATCGTCCTGACGTTTGTCCGCCCGCCGTCCTAACGTACAACGTACTTTATAACAGCATACACTAGAACAATCTACCGTCCTAACGTACAACGTACTTTATAACAGCATACACTAGAACAATCTACCATCCTAACGTACAACGTACTTTATAACAGCATACACTAGAACAATCTACCATCCTAACGTACAACGTACTTTATAACAGCATACACTAGAACAATCTACCGTCCTAACGAACATCGTGCTTTATAACAGCATACACTAGAACAATCTACCGTCCTAACGTACAACGTACTTTATAACAGCATACACTAGAACAATCTACCATCCTAACGTACAACGTACTTTATAACAGCATACACTAGAACAATCTACCGTCCTAACGAACAGCGTACTTTATAACAGCATACACTAGAACAATCTACCGTCCTAACGTACAACGTACTTTATAACAGCATACACTAGAACAATCTACCGTCCTAACGAACAACGTACTTTATAACAGCATACACTAGAACAATCTACCATCCTAACGTACAACGTACTTTATAACAGCATACACTAGAACAATCTACCGTCCTAACGTACAACAATCTACCGTCCTAACGTACAACGTACTTTATAACAGCATACACTAGAACAATCTACCGTCCTAACGTACAACGTACTTTATAACAGCATACACTAGAACAATCTACCGTCCTAACGAACAACGTACTTTATAACAGCATACACTAGAACAATCTACCGTCCTAACGAACAACGTACTTTATAACAGCATACACTAGAACAATCTACCGTCCTAACGTACAACGTACTTTAAAACAGCATACACTAGAACAATCTACCGTCCTAACGAACAACGTACTTTATAACAGCATACACTAGAACAATCTACCGTCCTAACGTACAACGTACTTTATAACAGCATACACAAGAACAATCTACCGTCCTAACGTACAACGTACTTTATAACAGCATACACAAGAACAATCTACCGTCCTAAAGTACAACGTACTTTATAACAGCATACACTAGAACAATCTACCGTCCTAACGAACAGCGTACTTTATAACAGCATACACAAGAACAATCTACCGTCCTAGCGTACAACGTACTTTATAACAGCATACACTAGAACAATCTACCGTCCTAACGAACAGCGTACTTTATAACAGCATACACAAGAACAATCTACCGTCCTAACGTACAACGTACTTTATAACAGCATACACTAGAACAATCTACCGTCCTAGCGTACAACAATCTACCGTCCTAGCGTACAACGTACTTTATAACAGCATACACTAGAACAATCTACCGTCCTAACGTACAACGTACTTTATAACAGCATACACTAGAACAATCTACCGTCCTAGCGTACAACAATCTACCGTCCTAACGTACAACAATCTACCGTCCTAACGTACAACAATCTACCGTCCTAACGTACAACGTACTTTATAACAACATACACTACTTTATCACCTTTCAGATACCCGGACAGATTATAACCGGACAGATTATCTGTCAGGGGAGTCGGATGGTCACAATGTAGTCATACTATCAACCACTGGTTTTCCTTGGCTAAGCTCGGCTATTTACAGACTGTCATCATACAGCTCGATCGTTGCATGGTGCACGTGTAAATGCGTGTAACAATTATGTTTCTATTGTTGTATGCCAGAGTATTTTATTGTTTAACAGTGATTGTAGCTGTGTTACATTGTTTCTGTTGAGATTCGGTAGACGCTCATTGCGTTGTGTTTTGGCAGTGATTAGTCGTCAAGAATGTAGTACTTTTAATAAAAGCAGTCTTTAGCAAGAAGTTACTTTATTTAGATGCTAGTGTTGTGTGTAAACTTCCGGTTTACCACGAACGGTGAAAGTGTGTTATAGAAGCGTGATGAATGTTACCAATGGCGCTGGACTGGCAATGTGTAGAAATTTTCAGTAGCTACTTAGGCTGAAGGGGCGGTCGGATAGCCTAGTGGTTAAAGCGTTAGTTCGTCACGCCGAAGAACCGGGTTCGATTCCCGACATGGGTACACTGTGTGAAGCCCATTTCTGGTGTCCCCCGCCGTGATATTGCTGGAATATTGCTAAAAGTGGCTTAAAACCAAACTCACTCACTCATTAGTTAGGCTGTATATCGTAGGACAAGAGCGTGCATGTCTCATCTCTCACACATTTCCATCTGAGAATACATCAAT